TTTTTATTGGGGAATTGGGGGAAGGGGAACAGACAAGTTGCTGTTGTTTTGTTCTTCAGTCTAGTTGTGGAGGACATTGCTTCACTGGCCCAAGTTGACACCACCATTGCGCTCTTCCTGGGTGAGGCAGATCAGTCGCAGGCTTCTGGACGGCTGCTCACTGCGGCTGCTGGCCGCTCACACCGGCTGCTGGCTACATACCGTACACATGGCAACCCACTGCAGCAGGGGCTGCAGCCTACGCTGTTGCAGGTGACTCATAGCAGCCCAGCTCCAGGTTGAGCTGTTGTTCAGCATCTTAGCTGTAGAGGACAGTGTCACTGGCCCTCATATGTGGGATCCAACCCGGGCCCTCTGGCATCCCAAGCCAGCTCTTAACCAACGCGCCACTCGGCCAGCCCTGGGGCCTGCTTTTAAATCCTGGCTCAACCTCTTACTAGATAAATGGCCTTGGGCACATTATTTAACCTCTTTGGCCTTAGTTTTCACCTTGATAAAATGGGGCTATTAATGACCCATTATCAGGAATTTTATGAAGATCAAATACGTTCTCTATTTGAGGATGTAAGTGGGTAATTGCTGTATCCGTTAGTGGCTTGTTTTCTGCCTGCTCCCTCTCACTGGGATGTCAGCCCGGTGACAGCAGGAACCTTGTCTGTTTGTTGGGTGCTCTGTCCTCAGTGCCTAGAACAGCACCTGGCACATAGAAGGTGCTCAGGAAATACATGTCAAACACATGACTGTAAGGAAATTCTGCCCTACAGATGGAATTCCTGGAGCTGAGTGATTTATGTCAAAGGTCCCTCAGTGAAGGTGTTTGCCGTGTCCAGTCTAGAATTATAATCTCTTGGCTGGGCAGCTGGTGGTCCCCCCTTGTTCCTACGGTCTATTTCCAGTGAAGTCCTTCCCCAGCCCCCCCCCAATTCCACTTCATACTCACCCCAGAAGAGGATCAAGCTGAAAGTCCACATCATGCTGCTTCTGTCATTCAAAGAGGAGAACCTGTTCTCCTTCACAGAGTTTTGAAGAAACAGGGTGTCAGGAAAGGGGAGGGGAGGAGCAATAATTGCTTAATTGCTGCCAGAGCACCACTGGCATTTGTGCTGAGTAGCTGCTACTAAATGGTGAAAATGTGGTAAACTCCTAATTTTCTCCTTTCTCCCCAATAAAGAGAAGTTGGCTATCCTGTGCACTGTGGCCTCTCTCTTCTTCTCTCTCCCCTCCTGTTCTTTTTTCTTTCCCCTCCAACATCTGTCTCCCATTTCTCATCACCTTTCATTGCACCCAACAGTAAATGAGCTTCCATCACCTGTCCCTCATGAAGCAAGCCCCAAGTTCGAGGGCATCTTCGCAGCCTGCCCTAAAACTAACCATCTCCGCCATCATGTACCAGTCATTGTGCTAGACACATTGCTAACTAAATTTAAAATACATCGTCATGTCAATATCGTAAAGTAGGAATTTCAACCTTTCACCTATTTTACAAAAATAAAGTAAAGAAGGAAACTGAGGCTTGGAAAGAAGATGTGACTTGTTCAAGATTACTGGGAGGACCCAAGGTTTGAACCCAGCACCCTCTGCCTGGGTCTTAACCATCTCCTCTTCCTTTAGCTCTCCACTATATCTGATAGCCTTATCCTCATCAGCACCATGCAAAGCAGCACTCCCCATATTCGCAGCCCCCAACCCAACACACACACACACACACACACACACACACACACACACAATCTCATTCATATGGAGGTCTAGGGACACCTTCATTAAGGTCCTCCAGAAACTGACGCAGAGACAAGGATTCTAGCGAAAGTAGCTTCTCAGGGAGGCGACCCCAGAAAATTCCAGCTGGGGAGAGAAGTGAGGCAGGAGCGGGAATGAGCCCACAGTGGGTGTGTTATCAAGCACGTTACACGGTGAAACCTGGAGTGTAACCTCACTGGGCACCTCTGGAAGGCCACATAGAACACACTCTTCAGAGTTATCCCAACTGAGGGGCCAGGGAGCTGGGGGATTTATCCACCAGCTACTGTCAGTCATGCACTGAGCCTTGTGTCAACCCACGATACCTCAAACCTGGTCTCCATGCAGACAGCATGGACCCAGACACAGATGTCAGTTTCATGTGTCCTGCGGGGTTGAGTGTCACGGGTGTGGAGAGGTACCAAGAGCATCTGTTACAAGCTAGAAACGAAATGCAAAAACCAGTTCTAAGTTCTTGGGAAGAAAAACCCTAACTTTTTACTTTACCTTCTTTTCGCTCTCCACAAGGCAAAACACCCACCTTAGAGTTATGATCCCTGCAGCAGATTCATCAATGTTTCTCTGTTTGCACATCAAGGGGCCCTGCCGGATAAAGCTGCAGTTAAGAGCCAGTGTGAAAATACAGCAAATTGCACCAAGAAGAAGGATAAAGAGAGCTGTGTTATGTTTAAAAGAAGCATTGGAGGGTAATTGCAGACTCTGAAAACAGATCGGCCCTCCCAGGGGTGGGGGGCTGGGAGGTGCGGGGGTTCAAATCCCATCTCTATTACTTGCTAGCCATGAGGGGTCCTGTGAAAGTTCTTAATCTCTCTATGCCTCAACATTTCCATCTGTAAAATGGGCTCAATAATTAGTAGGATCTAATTCATGGGGCTGCCATGAGCATATGAGTGGGTGTATGTGATGGGCCTAGAACAGAGCCTGGCACACAGGAAAAGCTCCATGTGTTGGCTATTATGGCAACAGGAGCTGGGATCAGATGGACCTGGGGTCAAATCCTGAACTCTGCAAAGTATTTCCAAAGTGACCTTGGATGGTGACTTGCCTCTCTGTGCCTCAGTTTCTTCATCTGGAGAATGGGTGTAACAATAGGCCATGTCTCAAAGGATCACTGTGGAGGGGATGCAGTAACGTGTACTAATGTTGCAAACTGGGAGGGACTACTGGGGCTTGTATTATATTTTCTTCTGTAGTCCTTGCTCAGTGCGTCCAGGAGTGTGGACCATGGAGGCAGACAGACCAACGCAGTAATTTTAACATATGTGCACAAATCCTTTGACCCTCCTCCCTTCAAGACGGGGAAACTAAATTCTCTCTCCTTGATTATGCGCCGGACTTACTGACTTGCTTCTAATCAACGGTGAAAAGAAGAGGTGAAATCATGTGACCTCCGAGATTGTGGCACCTGGGATATCTGAGGTCATAAGAGTCATTGTGGCTTTCTCTTTGCTCTCTCTTCCCAGGGTCATTCACGGTGGGGGAGGGAGGAAGCAGGCACTTCGTTGTAAGGACACTCACTCAGCTCTATGAAGAAGCCCACATGTCGGGGAACTGAGGTCTCCAGACAGCAGCTTGGCTGTCACCTCATGAGAGACCCTTATACAGAACCATCCAGCTAAGCCACCTCCAGGTTCCTGACCCTGGACACCATAAGAGAAAAAATTTAATTGTTGTTTAAAGCCATTAAGTTTTTAGAGTAATTTGTTACACGGTAAGAGATAACTAATGTACCAAAAGCAATTTTCCCCATTGGTAAAATGAGGGTAATAGGGCCAGCCGAGTGGCTCAGCTGGTTAAGCGCATGAGCTCTGAGCAACAGGTTTGCCTGTTCGATTCCCACATGGGCCAGTGAGCTGTGCCTGAGCTGAGCTGCCACTGAGCTGCCAACAGGTGGCAGGATGGCTCAGCTGGTGAGAGCATGTGCTCCTAACAACAAGGTTGCCGGTTCGACTCCCACAGCGGATGGTGGGCTACGCCCACCCGCAACTCATATCGAACATGGCGCCTTGAGCTGAGCAGCCGCGAGCTGCCCAGTGGTAGCCGAATGGCGACTGGACTTGGGGCTGAGCAAGCTGTGACCTCCACGACTCACAGCAAAGATTGAAGGACAACAACTTGGCTGTTCCCCTTCCCCAATTCCCCAACACTGTTCCCCTTCTCCAATAAAATCTTTAAATAAATAAATAAATAAAATTAAATTAAATGAGGGTAATAATAATTTCATAGGATTTGAAGTGTAATGTGATAAAAATCATAAAACCCTTCTGGGCACAAATTGAATGCTTAATACATATTAGTTATTATTGTCATCACTATTATTTGCTATGCTAAATTGTCATGGCTACTCATAGGAGAAGTCACAAACTTAGAGGCCTAAAACCACATGAATTTATTATATAAAATTACAGATCTGTAGGTGAGAGTGCCAAACGAGTCTAATGGGGCTGAAATCAAGATGTCAGTGGGGCTGTGTTACTTCTGGATGCTCTAGAGGAAAATCTATTCCTTGTCTTTTCCGGTTTCTAGAGGCACCCACACTCCCTGGCTCATGGCTTTTCCCCCCTTTTCCCCTTCCTTCATCATTAAAGCCCACAGCATAGCTTCTTTAAAAATCTCTTTCTCCTCTCTCTCTCTCTCTCTCTCTCTCTCTCTCTCTCTCTCTCTCTCTCTCTCTCATTCTTTCAATGATAGATAGATAAATAGATAATGGATAGATGGACACACAGACATATAGATGATAGCTACCTTGATTAATCTCTCTCATTCTCTCACTCTCACTGACCCTCCTGCCTCCCTCTTAAAAAGACCCCTGTGATTGCATGAGACCCACTTGGATAGTCCAGAATAATCTCCCCATCTCAAGATCCTTAACTTAGTCCCATCTGCAAAGTCACTTTCATGTTAGGTCATATATTTACAGGTTCTGGGGATTATGATGTGGACAACTTGGGGTGGGGGAGCCTCATTATTTTATCTATCACAGATGGGGGCTGGGGTCCTGGCAAGTGATTGAGGACACAGATGCCAGTCACCCTCCAAACCCAGAAGAGGTGACCATGGCTATAATAAGATCTGGTCAGCAGAGACGCTGCAAGGACAAGGGCAGGCATAATGGGAGAAGAAGGGGAAGAATGGGGTAGAGGAAACGCACAATTGCTTGCAGAATCCTAACCCCCTTGTGACTTTCACGGCAAAGGGGAAATCTAGGGACACTCAAGATTGAAGAAATCAGCTTGGGGGAGTCCTAGAGACATCATTTGTCCTCATGCTGAATATGGGGGAATTCCAGAGCAGACCTATCTAACTTGACCGTGTCCCTCCTATGCTCTAAACCCTCCCATGGCTCCCTATTACCTGAGGATGAAGTCCAGGTTCATTAAAACAGCACTCAAAACCCTGGTCTCCCCCTTTGGCCTAATTGCTCCTCACCACCCTCTCAAAGCCCCAGTCATCCTAGGCTAACCAAAGCCCCTGTTGTGGACCCTGTTGATGCCCTGTCCAGCCACCCATTAGAACCTGGAGCGCCCATCCCCCAGCAGCTCTGAACGTTGCCTGCTAACAGCTCACAGTTTTCCCTTCTCCAAAGAACCACACTCTCGTCCAATAGCTGCATAAGCCCTCAGACCCAGCCCACAGCCAATAACAGATGGTCACAGAGAGGAAAAGGCCAGTCCTTGCCCCAAGGAGAGATTAACTCAGTGATGTTATTCAGGCTCCAGGGATACCCGTGGAATCAGGCTGAGCCCCTGCCTCTATCCTACCCTGCTTTCTTCACCCCTTTCTGCTAAAACCCTCCCACAATAAACCCTGTGTAGCAGAACCCTCGTAGCAGGGTCTACTTCCAGGGTGGCCTAAAAACCCCTCCCAGCCATTAAACACTTAGCTGTCTCTAGACCCCAAGTCTGACATGGGTACTCACCTAAAATCCAATGCATCTTTCCAGTGTAAATAGCACCTTCACCAGGAAGACTTCCATGTAAATATCACCTCCACCAGGAAGCCTTCCAGGGTAAATATTACCTCCTGCAGGAAGCCTTCTTTGACCCCCCAACTCCATGGTTAGGGACCTCCTCTGTGCTTCCCCCATACCAACACTCAGTGTGATCTATGCTGGTTTGAATGTGTGTTTCCTTCCAAACACTGGGAGCATCTGGGTACAGAGAAGGAGTTTTGTTGGCGGTTGTATCCTAGAAAATGAAAAAACAAATGAGGAAAAAGAAAGAAACTGATACATCTCCTGATCT